ACCCTGGTGCCTGTGCTGGTTTGATCTTGTGTAGGTAGCCACAGCTGCCTTGAGTTCATGAGAGTAATGCCCATGTCCTGTCCATTAGCATTTCAAAGCACTCCTTCAAGTCCTCAGGTTCTTAGATTCTTTCCTCCCTTCTGTTAGGTGCCCCCCACCCCGGCCTTGAGCTGTTGATACAGTTTTCACACTTAGGACTGAGCACTTACAGCAGTCACTGATTTTTTTTTTTTTTTTTTTTTTTTTTGGTTTTGGTTTTTAAGACAGGGTTTCACTGATTCTTAATACTTGAACCAGTAATGAGTCTGCATTAGCCACTGCCTTCTCTGGCCAAGACTTCTCTGGCAACAACAATCTGTAGATGGAAACAAATATAGAGAGGGCAGGTTGACAACTCAGTCATTTAGCTAGATAGACTATATTCACTGAATTGGTTGGTTGTTGGTTGTTTGGTTTGTGGTTGGTTGTTTGGTTGGTGGGAAGGGCAGGATCTCACAATGTGTCACTAGCTGTCCTCAAAACTCGAGCTGTAGACCAGGCTGTTATAGAGATCTGCCTCCTCTGCCTCACAAGTGCTGGGATTAAAGGCCACTATACCCAGCTTAACTCTGTTTTGTTGTTGTTGTTTTTTTGTTTTTGTTTTTGTTTTTTTTTGGTTTTGGTTTTGTTTTGTTTTGTTTTCCTGTGAAGAAGCTTTGTAATTTCATGAGATCCCTTTTGTCAATTGTTGCTGTTGTTTCCTAAATATCAACTTCTGGATTTTGTTGTGTTTCTTTTTGCTTTTTTTATGATTTACTTAACTTTATTTTATGTACATTTTTTGTGAAGGTGTCAGATTCCCTGGAACTGGAGTTATAGACCGTTGTGAGTTGTCCTGTGGGTGCTGGGAATTGAACCCAGGTCCTCTAGAAGAATAGCCAGTGCTCTTAACCGCTGAGCCATCTCTCCATCATGTATCCCAATTTTTCTCACCTCCTCCTGATCCCCCCATATCCCCCCCTTGCCCCTGCAGCACCCCCCATAAAAGAAAATTTAAAAAACACAAAGCAAGCAACCAAACAAAAACAAGAACAAAACAAATAAGAAATAAAAAAAAACCTCTTCATTCCAACACCTCTTCATTCATATTCATCCTGGTGGCATTGTGTGTCATATAGTCAGCTTTACTAGCAAATGTTCATTGCAATGAGTCGCTGGTCTGGTTCTTGGTACACCATCATCACTGGATCCTCACCAGAACTCCTCTGGGCTATCTTGTGGCCTCCCGGAGTCATGAAGATCCTATAGGTGGGTATTGCTCCACAGGATCAGTCCCTTTCCAAGCTCCAGCAGGTCCTAGATGGACTAGATATTAGGGTAGGCTAACCCAAGGCCAGCTATGGGCCTGGATGGTAGCTGAGCTGGTCATTCTAGGCCACCAGGGCCACCTGCCTCAGATAAGGGGACCAATTCAGTTTCCACTGAGTTTTGTCTTTGCTTTGAAATACCTTCCAGAAGTATCACTACATAGAATAGGTTATAAAGAACATCCGAGTAAAGCCTTTTCCTTTTTCCAGACCTATGAAATAACCATGTGTAAACATAAGATAAAACAGCATAAATACTAAGACTTTTAACATTTAAATCATTCCTGTATACTTCCAGAGAAAAACTAAAGAACGTAACAATTTAATAGTCTTAACAGATGAGTAGTCTTCTGTTTCAGTTTATACTGTTAAGGGTGTAAAGTGAGACACACATACCCCCAGGGCCTAGAAACAACAATATCTAGACATAATGTAGGAGAATTTACAGAGAGACAAATTCACTTTCTTCTGTACGTAGAGCCTTGCAAAGATATACAACCCATTCATTGTGACCATGGTTAGAATTATGATACACAATAACAGTGAACTTGCCATATGGCATGGTCAGCTACTAACTTTATAGTATAAGTGAAATGCTTTAGTAGTTAAAGATACAAATCAGTTACACAACACCTGGTATTGTCTATAACTTTCTCATACTCTTCGGGCACATACCAGAAAGAAAAAGAAAGCATCCACAAGAAGTATGTCTTAGTTACTTTCCTACTGCTGTGCTGTGATGGATTAGAGTCCATGACCATCATGGCAAGAACTTTAATTTTCCCTTCATGGAAAGTCTTTAATTGTTTGAACCAGAACAGTGCTTCTAAATATCAACAAATTGTGCTTGATTCTGAAGGGCCTATCACATGCTCGTACAGTGGGGTATACAGGGATCCATGATTGAGGGAAGTGTTTAATTGAGGAGGCTGTCGTATTCATCCCATCTGAGTTTTGTGGAAAGTAGTGTCTGAGTGGGTCATCTGATTTCGTCAGCTTCTCATTGGATCCCATGCCTGACCTTGCTTCAAACCATACTGAAGTGGGAGGGCAGTTTTGCCTCCTTTGAAACAAACAAAACCTGTACTTTGATAAGACTGGCTAATGGCTTGAATTTACCAATATAACTATTTGGACCATGGTGTTGAGCCAGAGTTCTAAATGCCTTTTTTGTCTCTATTATTTGTATATGTCATATGTTCTCATGGGTATTGTGTCTCATAGTAGGGTCATTGGGGACGGGCTGGGGATGTTCACAACAGCATCTGTGTCAACTGAATTTCATCTGGAGACTCAGAACACTTGCTCTTCCCTTTTCTTGTGTACACTGGTGCTGACAGAGTTGATCCAGCCTCCTGGTGAACAGAACCAAAGGAAAGAAATGTAGGCTTCAATTGCATAGGATCAGTTAGGACTGAGTTTAAACTTTAAAATACAAAAGCTATGTGTCATGTCTTTTTGTTTTTAATTAAACAAGGACCTGTGATCTTTAATGTATAGTATCCTGTTCAGTTTACAGCCAACTTATACTGTAGAATGTGCTTTTATTTTAGTATATGGACCACATGTATCCCCTTTTCCTTTAGCATTCAAAACCACAGCCTGTTTGTTACCAATAACAGTAACTTATTTAATACTATTTGGAAAGGATGGTATCTTAGACCCTTTCCCTACTTGTTTATCATTATAACAAATGAATAATTACAATCGTGAATTAATAAATAAAATGCATGCTTGGCTTCCAGATACAAATGGCTCAGATAACTCCATCCCGATGGCATATCTTACACTGGATCACCAGCTACAGGTAAAGGGGCATGTTTGCTTTTCCTCCTAGGGGAGTTCATGATATTCACAGTGTGTGCCTTTCCATTTCTTTATGCTTTTAGTTAACCCTCTTCAGCCAACTTCAGAATCAAAGTGAAATAAATGGCTTTGCCAGGCATGGTACTCACACCTCTAATGCCAGCACGTGTGAAGCAGAAGCAAGAGGGTCAGGGATTCAGGGTCTACTTCAGCTACAAAATAAGTTTGAGGTCAGCCTGAACCACAGGAGAGCCTGTCTCAAAACTCCTTTGTTTTTCTTTTTTCTTTCTTTTTTTTTTTTTAAGTTACTTTGGTTTAGGATTGACATATTTTATGTTCTTATCCTAACAGTCATCTTAAGATAGTTCCATATCTCTGTTGTAAAACTGCCAAGTATTGCATTTTCACACCTTAATTTTTTTAGTGTATTAAGATAAAAAACTCATAAGCTCATTTCCATTTAAAACGTTTTGTGATGCATCTTTGGGGTCATAATGACTAAAAGTGTAAGTAGTGTGTTAGTGCCTCTCTGTGAGTGTGAAAAGTATAAGTAGTGTGTCAATGCTTCTTTATGAGTGTGAAAAGTGTAAGTAGTGTGTCAATGCCTCTCTGTGAGTGTGAAAAGTGTAAGTAGTGTGTCAGTGCTTCCTTATGAGTGTGAAAAGTTAAGTGGTGTGTCTGCTTCTCTATAGTGGAAAGTAAGTAGTGTGCCAGTGCTTTTCTGAGTGTGAAAAGTGTAAGTAATGTGTGTCAGTGCTTCTCTATGAGTGTGAAAAGTATAAGCAGTGTGTCAATGCTTCTTTATGAGTGTGAAAATTAGAAGCATCTTAGGAGCCAGCAGGTGCCTTTAGTCACAGCTACATGGACACTAGATAGGACTGAAAATTGCAGGTCTCCCTGGGCAGCCCATCCCTGTCCCTTTAAAAGAAGGGACTTCAGTATGTTCCAGCTCTGTAGCAGAAAATGCCATCCCAAACAAAGCTTCACCTGGTCTCATCACAGTCTTTCCTCGTTAGCTGACAAGGGAGCACCAGGTTTACCAGGATACAGCATTAACACTTAACAACTTTTGATAAATTTGTTCTTGGACAGTTCATGATGTATGAAGTGCATTCTGGTAACCCTATTCTACTCACCTCTAGTTACACTCCTACCTCCTCATCTCCACACCCTCCCCCTACAAGTCCTCTTCTCACATCCATGTTTTGTTTCATTTAGTTTACTGATCTAATTTGGCTCACCTGTGCAGCTGAAGGTTTGGCACACACACTTTTGCTTGCATTGGTTTAGTGCTGTAAGAATACGTCAGTCCCAGTCTTTGCCTTCGCCATCATCTTAGATAGACACTGAGACTGACGTTTTAACATGTCTGCTCTCTTTCCAGCCTCTAGCACCATGCCCAAATTCCAAAGAGTCCATGGCAGTGTTTGAACAACATTGTAAAATGGCACAGGAATACATGAAAGTGCAAACTGAAATCGCGTTGTTACTACAGAGAAAGTAAGTCCTTTTATTTTTAAACAAATAAAAGTTTAAAACCAGTATTTTGAATTTAAAATACATTGAGATAGCAACATTATTTTAAAAGACTTTTAAAAATAATTTCTTTTTAAAAGCAATTTCTGTCTTAAGAATCCTTAAATTAGTAATTGAAAATATTTCCAAGAGCTAGAGAGATGGCTCAGGAAATTAAGAGCACATATGTTACTCTTGCAGAGGAGCCAAGTTCTCTTTCACAGCCATCTGTAACCACTGCTCCAGGCCATCAATGCTTCTTCCAGACTCCGAGGGCACGCACTCATTGTACACATGCCCACACAGACACACGTATACACATACTTACAAATAAATCTTTAGGCTAGTGTGGTGGTGCATGCCTTTAATTTCAGCATCCAGGAAGTGGAGGCAGGCAAATCTCTGTGAGTTCGAGGTCATCCTGAGATACACAGTGAGACCCTTCCCAAAAACAAGTAAGTTAATGAATAAATACAATTCTTTAGAAAAGTATTTCCATCTAGATTTGTGCTCAACTGTAAGAACCCTTTAACTAGTTTCATGCAGAACTCACCTTTTTGATGACATCATATAGTGCTAAGGAAAATAAACTGGCTGCATACCCAAGTTTATGTTGTCAAAGTGGAAGGCTGTTTAGACTTATCACTACAAAAGTTTATTGGTGCATGTGTGCACACAATAATATAAATGTAATAATAAAAGAGTAAATTTTTAAAAAGGAAAATAGCATAATTTAAATGAAACTAAGTTGGTATCCTAAAGATATCATCAATAAGAAATTGAATATTATGGTCTGCAAGCTGTAGGTGTAGCTGTAGAACTTCTGACCTTTTGTGTTTGGGGAGTAGACCTGCATTTATTCCTGTATTTAACCTGCCTTCTCGTACTATAATAGTGTTAAAGATGAATTCTCTGTTAACAAAATACAAATGTTGGGAAATTAGAGAGATAGCTCTGTAGTTAAGAGCATTGACTGCTCTTCCAGAGACCTGGGTTCAATTCCCAGCATTCACATGGCAGCTCACAACTGTCTTAATTCCAGTTCTAGGGCACCTGACACCCATGGCAAAACACCAGTGCACATAAAATAAAAGTAAATAAATTGTAAAAAATACAAATGTTGGATATAGGTGAATATAAAAAATATGACACTTGATCAGAGTACTTGCTTTAAATTTTTAATTTGTTATGTAGGCAGTGGGGGTGTGTGCAAATGTCATGACATGCATGGTGTTCCCATCACAGGACAGCTGGTGGGAGTCTCTTCTCTCCTTCCACTATGTGAGTTCTTGAGATTGAACTCAGCATCAAGTTTGGTGACAAGTGCTGTTTTACCCACTGGTCATCTCACCTGCCTGAATACTCAGTGTAAATGAGAAATGTCAGGAAGCTACTTTGAATAATAAGACCTCATTATTCATTTACACCCAGTAGTCTCTTGCTTCAAGGAGGGGCTAATTCTTAATATCCGCCAAAGAAAGGGACTTGAAGCTTACCTGCCTGTAAGAATGGGGATCTCCTGAAAATGTTTACAGATACTCTTCTTGCTATTGTATAATAGAAAAGAACTGTAAGTGGCATAGTAGCTCTCAATTAGCTTGCAGGGTAGCTCTTAATTAGCTTGCGGATGTTCTGTTAGTTACTGCCACTGGAGTTGTAGTCAAATAGGAAGGACTGTGACTTCAGAATATGGATTGAAGTATATTGGCGTATAAAAGTGAAGCATGAACTATGACACAGTTCTGTCTTCCTGGAACTGGATACAGCCTTTTTTCTTCCTTCCTACCAAAAAAAGAGGTTATCAGATGAAATTTTCTGAAGCATTGCAGTGATTTCTCTGTTCCACTGACCACCTTAAGTACTTCCTGAAAGGACTATGGTTCTTTTGTCCTCACAGTAGAGGAATGGGTCGTGATTTCTGTCTGGCCTAGCATTGTATTGGAGTAGTACACTTAACCTGCAGAATGATAGGGGGAAAGGTTCTCATCAACGAAGTTTCCTTCATCAGCTAAAGGTTTGGATTTTCCCATCATGTGTAATGTTATTGTATAATTTGTTTTAGGCAAGAATTAGTTGCAGAATTGGACCAGGATGAAAAGGACCAGCAAAATACATCTCGTCTGGTACAGGAACATAAAAAGCTTTTAGATGAAAACAAAAGCCTTTCTACTTATTACCAGCAATGCAAAAAACAACTAGAGGTCATCAGAAGCCAACAACAGAAACGACAAGGCACTTCATGATTCTCTGGGACCGTTACATTTTAAAATATGCAAAGACTTTTTTTTTAAGAAAAAGACAAACAATTATGACAAGTCATGAGTGTTAGCTTTTTGGCGTGTTCTGAATGCCAAATGCCTCTATTTGCTGCATTTGTTATGTCATTTATTTTCTTTTTATGGTGGATATTCAGTCCACTGTCCTGTTGTGTAGGATGATAGCACCTGTGTCCTGGAAAGGCAAGTGTTCTCAGCTTCAGGCACATGCAGTGAACGTGGCTGGATATGCATGCCCCTGGTGTGAGCTAGCTGACAGGTGGGGTATCACACTAGCTCCTGTGCACAAGAATCATCCTTTTCTCCATAGTAAAAGGTGGAACCTTGAGGATTTTCTTCTTAGAGCTCATCTCAAATGCTGTTTTTTCCAAAAGATAGTATGCATCAACATAACGACAGGGTATTATAAATAACTGGTGGTACATTACAGAAATACAGGATGTTTAAGCTGAGTTCAGAGACAGGGATTTGTGCCAACAATCCTGGATCAATCCTAAACGTAGTTCCATCTGTTAATATTAAAGGTAAGCTGTGCTTAATGAAAGCAAGTTCAGTGATTTTTCATTAGGCTGAGCATCGTTTATGAGCAATGAATGTGTGCTCTTTTACAGCCTGAGGATTTTCGAATCTGTGTAGACAGAAGCTTTTCTGTCTTTTAATATTAGTATCCGAGAAAATTGAGAGAACATGGTCTAGCTTAAATGATCCTTCTTACAACAATTACCGAATTTTGTTATGATAAATTTAAAGAAAATTGTAAAATAATAGAAACATAAATGATTGGCCCAGCCAAAAAGGCATGTCTGTTTATCATAGCAAATAAGCAGACAAGTCAGGAGGCCTGAGTAAGGAAGATGAAGTGAAAATAAACCCACTTTCTGGAGATATTTGGAGGATTGATTTCTCTAAGTCCGATCTGGAATGACTGCTGCCTTCCCATGCTTTTAAGAGAATTTCAACACTTACAAAGAAAATATTTATATTGTTAACAATAAGTTTACTACCAACCTTCAGAATAACTAAAAGGTAAATAATAAAATACCATTAAAGAAAAATCCCTAAGCTCTATTTTTTCAGTCCATGTTACCACATTTTGATACCAATCCAAGCAGAATGTCCTTTAAATAAGGCTGCCATCAGTGTTGTTTTTGTAGTGTTCATGTTTATAAAGAGAACACTTGGGAACTGAAAGCATGATGGCTGCCTGTGGTCCTTAGATGTCTATAGTGCCCCTGCTCTGTTTTAGATGAGCACGAGAAGCTGTCAAAACTGTTAAATGCTGACGTGGGTAACTCCTCTTCCATTACTTTCTCCTATCTGAGTTTATAACAAATCCCTCTGTATACACATAAAGGTAAGGAACAGTATATAGTAACATGTGCCTTTCTCAATACCTGTTACTAGGAGGCTCCTGGGAGCTAAGAGTCTTTCACTTAAATAAAGATTGTCATTCCCAAATTCTATCAGGTGAAATTAATGTTAAGCTCATCATTAATAGTTGAAATAAATATGACAGAGAAGATAAGATACCTGTAAACTGAGACAAAGACCAAGGTCTCCCTGACATTGCTGCCTGTGTGTATATCTGGCACCACACTGAGAATGTGTGGTCTCTGTTAGGCAACATGTCAAAAGTATCTCAAAATATGAATGGTGAGTTTGGACTGTTCATTAGATTCTGTATTACATGGTTGTAACCTCATTTCTAGCCAGATATTTGTTTTGCAGTATCATCCTCGAGCTAAAAGGAAATTTTATCTGCATCATCGTATGCAGTCACTTGATAAAACTATTTAAACAGGTAAATGGAATAAAATGCTAAATTTACTCATACCAATGGCAAAGGACTGTTTCACAGTTGCTTGTTATGGTCAGTTCCCTGGGGCTTCCAATACTGTAGTGGTCCTGGACAGCCTTAAGTAAGTGCATTGCCACACTCGGATGTTTTTTTAAAGTTCCAACTATGCCTAAAGATTAAAAGGACACCATACATACTTGAAATCCATACCAGTTTACTCAATGTCTCTATCCATAAAACCGCCAAATAACCGAGGTACCAAGGAACCAGATGTGTCTCCAGTTCTTGTTCTAAAAGTTTATTGTTAAAATGATGTTCAAGAATCAGACAGTCCTTGCACAGAAACTGCCAGCATTTTGTTCTTGTTTCCAGGAAAGGAAGCTAAGTTTGTGTAATGTGGAAGAAAATCCTCCTCAGCCGTATAACTGTGTTCAGGGTTGGATAAAAATCAGTTAAGAATGTTACCCTACATACTGAAAAGATCTGCTTAAAGTTGTTTACAAATGGTCACATATTTTTTAAAGTAACAAAATTTTTTCCTTCAGATTTCTGTCATGTCCATTTCCTGCTACAGCCAGAGATTACAAGTGAACTTGTTTCCTCGGTGGGTGGGTGGGTGTGTGTGCGCGCGCACACACACATGAACTCCTCACTTCATATGCTAGGAAATCCTACCTTTACTCCTGTCATTCAGAAATTGCTTGTAAAATGATGTGATACAGAAACTCTTGTGCATATGGTGTAACTGAAGGCAGCTTTTTCCATTTATTTTTGTTTCTAATAAACTTCAGACTGTTATTTCAGGCTGGTATGTAGATATGGTAGCTAGCTTCTCCCGGTTTTCCTGGAGGTGTTTACCTATCACAGACTAATAACTGAAATAGTTTGTTAGGATTCTCAGCATTGCTGTACCATCATGATGTTTTGGAGAAGCGAGTCATTGGGCTGGAGACATGACTTATCAGTTAAGAGCACTCACTTTTCTTGCAGAGAACTGAGGTTCAGTTCCCACCACCCACATGGAGGCTTACATCACTCTGTAACTCCAGTTCCAGGGCATCTGACTCTATGTTCCCCGAGGGTTCTTGCACATACACGGTGCATATATACTGTGGCACACACAAAATATTACTTAAGTGGGAGAAAACCTATTTTTTTCTTGTGCCTTCATTTTTATGAAGTACAGCATAAAAGTGACTATTCTCATTACAAACTTAGTGTTTTTTTCTAAGCTATAGTAAGCATTTTGCTTTTTTATCAAGTAACAATCCAGCTTAAAGATAAGTGTACATATTTTTATATCTATTAGTTTCCTTGTTTCTTCAGTATTTATTAATAAGCTAGCTTACCGTTACTAATGCCAAGCTTTATGTTCATGTCAGCTCCACAGTAGAAGCATCCCGGTAAGATGCTGAGGGTTGGGGCTCCTCAAGGTGACCATTTGTCCCTAGGTCTGCTTTTCTACTTCTCTGTTTAGGTGGAGTCACATGTGGAGACTGGCCACTAATCTGGCCACTAATCTGCAGAGGAAACATTCTCACACCTCCTCAACCCAAATACCTGTTCTGAATGGCTGCTATACTGGAAAGTTCCCCCATTATTTGGGGGTGCCTCAGTGTTGGCATTCACTACCTTGGAATGTCTCATTCACCTGTGAGACAAAAGTTCTCAAAATAGAAGCACAAATAAAAGGTACTGGGCCAATTGAAAGAAGACCTGCCCAGTGTACAGGTGAGCGTGGTCTGTGCTTTGTCATTTCTGTGATGGTGGTGTTTTTGGTTCTGCCTATTAGGAAGTCATATTCAATTAAGGCATAATTTTTAATGTATATTTTTATTTAAATTCTTTACTACTCATGTTTACATAATCCATTCCCCCCATTCCCTCACTCTCCCATATCTCCCACCAACCACCCCTCCAACGCATCCTCCAACTCTCGGGGGAGGACCTAGGCCCTCCTTGTTTTATCTGGGCTGCACTAGTATCCCTCCATAGGGAATGGGCTCCCAAAGTCCATTTGTGCTCTACAGATAAACACTGGCTCTACTGTTAGAGGTCCCATAGACTGTCTTGGCCTCCTAGCTGGCACCCACATTCACAGGGCCTGGTTCAGTCCAATGCTGTTTCCCAAGCTTTATGACTAGGATCTCCATGCTCTCAGTAGGTCAGGTCAACTGTTTCTGTGGGTTTCTAGCACCATCTTGGCTCCTTTGTTCATCCCTCCTCTTCCACAACTGGATTCCAGGAGTATGGTTCAGTGCTTAGCTGTGGGTGCCTGTCTCTGCTTGGAACAGCTACTGGATGAAGGCTCTAGGAATGGTAACCAAGGTAGACATAATTTGCCTACAATAAACTGCCTCCATTTTAAAGTGTACAGTTTACTGAGTTTTGACATATATACACTTAGAGATCCACTCCAGCAATCAGCATCCTGAATATGTCTACCACATGTATAAGCTCCCTGGTTTCCCTGCACAATTAGTCGCCCCCTACAAGACCCTGTCTGTAGACAGCCCTCAGACTAACCATAGAGATGAATTTGCATCGTCTGTAGTATCACTTATATGAGATAGTGCCCTGTGGATTTCATTTTTTAAGCTCTTGCCTTGAGTCTGAATGGTTTCTTAATTCCTTTGGAGCACTTTGTCATTGAGCTATTTCTGGTAATACTTGAAGCTCAGTGTTGGCCTTTGAGGAGAACCTAGATTTTAGCAAACATGCTAAACATGCTGTGCTTGATCTGTCCTAGAAACGTCTTAGATTATCTTTTATGTTTTTACGGAATCTCAGTTCTTTGCTCGAAAAATACCCCTGCATTTGTATGTTAAAGTACATATTTGTAGCAATATACAATCATGGGAAGTAGCATGTTGGTAGGTCCATGTTACACTTTAAAACTGTTGGTTAGTATAACATTTAAAAATGTTTTCTTCTCTTCATTGTTGGATTATAGGTGCCTCCTGCTTGGTAAAAATTCTAAGAAAGGGGACTAGGGAGATGGCTTAGTGGTTACAAGCACTTACTGCTTTTACTGAGGACCCAGGTTCAATTCCTAACATCAACATGATGGCTCACAACTCCCTAACTCTACTCCCAGGGAGATCTGACACCCTTTTCTGACCTCCAAGAGCACCAGGCATGTGCATGGTGCACATAGATACAAGCAGACAAAAACATTCTTACAGAGAAATATGATCAAAACTTCTTCATTTAGGAAAGACTATATCACAGAGAGAGCCATAGGGTATTTGAATTACATTTCACACAAGTGCCACCTGTGGTTCATGACAGTGATATACAAAAATACAAAATGATTTCTTAGTCCCTGTATGCTGGCCCTGGCCTTCATACCTAGTCCCTGCTCTTCTTCATTCTGCCATGCATCCTGCCAGAATTGAGTTTCTTTTTAAGGGACCTGCCATTCATATCAGTTATTGTTGTTTTGTGCTATCACCTGAGTCTTCCAAAATCCATAAGCCACTTCCAAGTGAGGCTTTTTCTGAGAAATAGGTAGATGTTTCTCAATGTTTTTAGACTTCCAATTGAGGAACTCAATTCATTATCCTAATTCAATGACTAATGACAACCTCACACATGCTAGAGAGCAGCCACATTGTTGCCTTTAAAGCACCAGAAATTATTGTGCAAATGAAAAATACTTATCTTCTAGGTAGCAAAAATAATTGTAATAGTTATTTAATTTTAGATGTGTATGTATATACCCCTTCTTCAGTTACTATAAGAATTCCAACACAATTTTTCACGGGAACCTAAAAACAATCTTCAACTTTATAGGGAAACAAAAAAAAACTCAGTATAGCTAAAAACAATCCTAAATAATAAGCAAGTTGCTTTCAAGTTGTATTACAGGGCTGTAGTAATTAAAACAGTGGAGTATTGACATTAAAAAATAGGTTGGTCAGTAGAACAGCCAGACAATTCTATACACCTGTAGATGCTTTTGACAAAAATAAAAAATACTATGGAAAGGTAGCACCTTTAATAAATGTTCCTGGTCATACTGGGTACATGAATGTAGGAGAATGCAAATAGATCCATTATCTATCATCCTGCACAAAACTCAATCTCAGTTGGGGTAATACCAGATAGCCTGAATCTAATAAAATAGGAAATAGGCTTGACCTTGTGGCACAGAAAAGGTATTTTTGAGCAGGACACAGCACAGGACTAAGACTAACCATAAATGGGACCTCATGAAGCTGAAAAGTTTCTGTACAGCAAAGGGCACCTTCATGTGAGTGAATGGGGGAGAAAATCTTAACCAATTATACTTCTGATGTAGGATTAGTATCTAGAATATAAAGAACATAAGAAATAACCCAATTAAAATCAAAGGTGTAGAACTGAGCAGCTTTCAAAAGATGAAACACATGTCTGAGAAACAAAAGAAATATTCAACATCCTTAGCCATCAGAGAAATACAATTTAAAACTTGTACTTCAGGTAAACTGCTTTTTTCAGTGTGTTATTCATGTTTGTGGTTTTGTGCTGGGATCTTGGCATCTGTCATTTTAAATGTTTCTTTGATGTCCAACCCTTTGCCTCCAATTCTTGCCACTCTGAATTCCCTGCCATGATGGACTGTTTCAGCTGAAACTATGAAGCCAAAATAAATACTCCTTCCCCCAAGTTGCTTTTGTCAGAGCAACAGAAAGAGACACTAATAATAATAATCAGTGCTAAGTGTGTACACATGCCTACAATCTCAGCACTCAAAAAAACTACCGCAAGACAGTTACCATCAGTTTTGGGCCATCCTAAGCTATGTAGTGAGGCCTTATCTCAGGCCAATCAGTAAAGATTTTAGACCTATTCCACTCCTTGGACTATATTCAAAGGTCACAGTATCCTACTACAGAAATGCCTGCTCATCCAGGTTCATTGCCTCTGCATTCACGGAGCTGGGAGACAAAAACAACCTAAATGATATTCAACTGATATTACATAATGAAAATGTACATACACAATGTAACTGCTTAGCTGTAACAAAATTAAATAATGAGGTTTGCAGGTAAATGATTGGAACTGACTGAGGCAACCCAGATAGACATGTTCTGTCTTATTTGTGGGTCCTAGCTCCAAATCTTGAGATGTGAGTGTATAGCCAAAAGTAACCTCAGAAGCCAGGAAAATAAAAGGAGACCTTGTGGAGGAAGGAGTTCAAGAAAGGGGGATGGTAGGTCAAAGGTGCTTAGAAGAAAGAAATTGGAAAAATTGAGAGATTGGAAGGAGAGGTAACACTAAGGATGTCTGAAAAAGCTGTGAGGAAATGTATGAGCTTTAAGTACATATATGTAGTTTGAATGAAAGTTATGCCACATGGGATGGTTTTGTTGCCCCCAAGAGCCATAAGACTAATTAAAAATAAAAAAAGCCCTGTCCCAGGCATGATAAACTTTCCTTTAAGTTGTTGGTCAAGGGAGGCCAAGAGACTCCCAAAACAATATAAGCTATTCCCATTGCCCATTGTTGCCTCCCAGAACTTAAAAGTAAGAGCCCATTGCTGAAGATAACACACACTTTGGACACAGAACTTAGAGGAATTGAATTGAAACTGACCTGTAAGCCTCATTGAGGGAAGAAAGTGATATACAAGATGCCAAGTGAGAAAAACATTCAGTAGTCAGTCATACCCAGTTAGAAAGCTACATACCACAATGACCAGCACAGCAAGATGTCCCCAGGGGTACAATAGTGGCATTTAGATCATGGGGTAACTAGCACCTGTCTACTTGAACTTAAACCTGCTTAATAGATAAGAATCCATGCCCTTATAA